CCTATACTCCTCTTTTATTCTATCTGCAACCCTGCTAACCTAATATGATACATCCTCTTCCTTCCTTTTTCCACTACTTCCTATCTATTTCAATTTGTTTCAATCTATTCTACCCGCTGGCTGCCGCTTGTCTCAACCTTGTCCCTCCTGTGTCTTTGGTCCGGGCGCGTGGCGCTGCAGGACGGGGCCAAACTGTAGCTTCCTGTACAGGGATCCCGGGTCAGTAGCAGGGGGAAAGGGGCCCGTCTGTCCCAAAATCCAGCCTCTTTTCCTCCCCCTATGCGTCTGCATCGGTGGAGGTCTGCCAGTAGGGCATTTTGGCATCTTTCATTCCTCAACATCCATAGGGCCCATAACACTGCTGACTGTACGATCTCTTCTGCCACCAATTCCCTGTCTATTGATCCTGATCGAGGTTCCCAGTAAGATCTCTGTATCATCCGCCTCATCGACCTTCAATGGTGTCTTATCCGCCACTTCCTGCGCCCACCATCCCCAGAAAGCTTGCACCATTGGACACCGCACGAAAAGGTGGGGAACAGTTTCCACCTGATCATATCCTGCAGCACAGGTGTGATCCTTATAGCGGCTTTTGGTGGTTTGCAACTGTGCTGTTGGGATTGCTAGGTGGTAAATTTGCCACAGCAAGCCCGCCTGCTTCTGATCTGGCAAGGCTGCCATGATGGTGCATTGCTCGTTCCACCTCTGCTGCGTCCATTTATAAGTTGTGTGTCCGGGAGGCAGTCTCGCTTAGCCCGTCGCCCATGGGTTCCATGTCAGGTCCCTCAACCTGGAAGCCACTCGAAATGGCAGGTATTGCCCTATCGCCATGGGAAGCCGTCCCCTGCGTCATTCCAAATGAAGCGGTCCTTGCCATGGGAAGCGGTCCCCTGCGTCGTTACAAATGAAGCGGTTCTCGAAAAGCAGCTGATTGTATACTTCGTCTGCTGTTTCATGAAGCCGACACCTAATCTGGATCTTCTTCCACAATGCCAGCTTTCGAGTCCACACCGTCCCTCTGCGAACGAGGCCCATTGCAGAGCTGCTAACCGGGCAGAGGTTGACTATTTCCCTCGGAACCTGGAGCGCATACGCCAGGTGGGACTGTGTTACTTCCTGCCAGATCTCGCCTTCTGTATGCAGCAGGGCCCAGATGAGTTTTTGGAGCTGTAGCACAATTATTTGTACTCGCGGATCTAGCAACCCTGGTCCTCCAAAGTTTCCTGGCTGAGTAAGTTTATCCCAAGCAATTCTACGAATAGTCCTCAGCCCTCGCGTTGTTTGTCCAGAGATGCGCATGAACTGCCTTCCTAATGTAGCGGAAGGTGCGTCTGCCCAGCATATGTACTGCTCCTTCATACCCCAAGGTAGCCAACACCGAGTTTTTAATCACTATGGTCTTTCCAAAAGGCCTCGTACTGCCTCTCGCACACCATGCTTGCAACCGGGCCTCGCCGCCGTGGCTCGCATTGCCGTCTATTCAATTCCCACATAGCTCGCTGTCACGTTTGCCCCCAAGAAGGCCATCCTCTCTCCTTCTGTTACAGTCGGGATATGCCATCCTTCCTGGGGCTCCACTTCGAGCGGGAGGATGGCCTTAGATTTTTCCCAGTTGACTCGTGCACCCGAGTACCTACAGAAGAGCGGCAGGTCTTCTTTACGGATTTCCAGCTGCTGGGTGGTCGGGGGGATCACTGCCCCAGTGTCATCCGCAAAGGCTGTGGATTGCAGTTCCGCAGTTGGTCCTGCCTTGAGGCTGATCAGTCGAACATCGGCCCCTCGGTATTTCATGCATTGATTTGATGTAGATGATGTAAAGGGCCGGAGAGAGTGGACACCCCTGCCTTACTGATCGGGTGACTCGCAATTTATCAGATCTTAGGGCGTCGCTCCACTACTCTCGACATGCACAAAAGACAAAAATATGGTGGGTGCACCTGGTCGTGTTCTGGCGGAAGATTCACTATTGTTTTGCACATTTCGAGAGTAGTGGAGCGAGGCCCTTACCCTGTTAATTTGCATCACAGTCGAAGCCCCGGCCAGAAGACAGTGGACCCAGCTGCATAGGATAGGTCCAATTCCACTCCTTGCCATTCTCTGCAGCGAGAATTCCCATCTAACCCGATCATGGGCCTTCTCAAGGTCTATTGATAAAAAGGTCATAGCCTGGCCTGTACACTGCTCCTCCAATATCTGCTGGGCCAGCAGCACGCTTGATAAGATCTGGTGGCCCGCCACAAAGCTCATTTGGGTAGAGTCGATTATGTGCGGCAGGACTTCCTCCATGCGATTTGCCAATACTCTGGCAAGGACCTTATATAGCACGTTCAGGAATGAAATCGGGTGCCAATTGCGCACGCCCTCCTTTGCTCCCTTCTTGTACAACAGGACCGCATACGCATCCGCACAGCCTTGTGGGAGGGATCCATTGAGTACTTCATTGTAGGCTGCCGTCAGCAGGATAACAAAGAAGTTTCTAAACTTTTGTGTACAGTTCCACCGGCATTCCGTCCAGGTCAGGCACCTTAAGTCTGGGGAGTTCTGCGATCGCTCTCGCCAATTTGTCAGCAGTGATGTCTTCGTCCAACTTACATGTGTCTGCAGGGATTAGTCACCCCTGGATGTGTCTCCAAATGTCTCGTTCTGGTTCCATGGCAATGTCCCCGGCGGTCCACTGTTCCTCCTCCATTAGCAACTGTCGGTAGGAGTCCGTTACACATTTTAGAATTCCCCTCGTGGTGTGCTGCCGAACGGCCTGACTGTCGAAAGGATGATCAGTAGCTGTCATTATTGGCGTTGCCTCTCGTGCAGCCACTGTAGCAAAGAATTGACGAGACGTTCGTTCCCCCAACATAATCCATGTCTCCTTCATGCGTGTCCCCCGTTTAATTGCTTCATCTGCCTACCACTCTCGCTATCTTTGAGCTGCTTCCGCTCTTTGTACCCATCATTCTTCTTCCGTTTGGTCCTCCATGGGGCCCTGATTCACATCGTCCATCCTTCGGGCATACTCCTCTCCCGTTCTCTTATGATCCAGGTAGTTGGTACACAGCTGCTTTTGCAAATTCCCCCTCAATTTCTGTACGACTGTGATAACATGCTTCAGCAGGTTTTCCTGCGGACACTCTTCCACCCAATCCTCCCAGAACTTTGTCATGCCGTTCTGAACTCCTTGCTTTTGAATACCCATGTCAGGATTGCCTTCGGCAGGCGGCCGATCTCTAGTTGGTCCGCTGGAAATGTTGCTGTCACTGCTGAGTGGTCCGACGTAGCCATCGGGCTAATCTGCACTTGCTCCACTGTTTCATTAAGGCCCAAAGATGCCCATATCATGTCGATTCGGCTTCTCGGGGACGCCGTGTTTCCCCAAAAAGTAAAGGCCCTCTCTTGTGGGTAGTGTTCTGTCGGAATCAGTGCACCCAAGTCCTGTCATTCCATTAACCAGTGCCAGAGCCATGCATTTGCTGAGTCCCGTTGCGGATGTACGATTGAGTTGAAGTCACCTGCAATTATATTATTGCTGACGTCCGGGACCAGTGTCTGTAGCCACTCCCACATCCGACACCGTGTACCTGTCTCCGTTGGCCCATATACTGTAGCCACCCCCCAGGTAACTTCCCCCCACTCCAGTATCACCCATGCCCACCGGCCCCTAGAGTCATAATACCAATCTGTCGCCTTGCCCCTAAAATGTGGGGAAATCAAAATGCAAACCCGTCCTCCCATGCCCTGTGCCGGGGCTCATATCTGATGCCCCTTCCACAGTAGCATCGGCTCTACTGTCCTGGCCTTGTTTGGCTTAGTGTCCTGCGGGCACACCACATCGTTTTGTTCCGCTTTGACTTTTTGCACTAACTCTCTCCGCTTAGGCAACAACAACTTGGCTCCTACGCCTCCCACATTCCAAGTCAGCAGCTTCAGTCGATTACAATTTCCTCCCACCCCCATTCTATTCCCCTCCGTAATGATTCCTAACTAACCTATATATCTGCCTTTCCCCTCTCCCTCTTCTTTCCCCTTCTATCCCTATCTTCCTTTTCTTTATTCATATTCTACTCCCGATGTTTATTCAACTAATATCCACTTCCTTTAATTGCTGGGGGGGTGTCTTCATCGAAGCGACACCTTTACAAGATACCACCATCTCCCTCCCGTCTCCCCCCTCCCTTCGTCTCTCAACGCTATCAGTTCCTACTCCCCTCGTTCCCATATGCCCATCCCTTTTTTAAACCGTCTCCCCCCCAACTTGCTCCTGCGTCAGACGGCACATTGACACTGTTGAGTACGGCCAAGGAGGTCACATGGACCACATGGTAATCCTGGGAGAGAGCTGTAGGCCTCGGCAAACCGTAGCCAGTGCATGCCGCTTGCTCCCAGCCTTGGAGTTCTCTGCTTCTTTGGAATGGCCTCCACAAAATACGCGAAGACGACGTACTCCCTCTCCTCCGCTGTCCGTCTAACAAATCGTGATGCTGATATCTGAGGTAACGGCATAGCTTCAAGTGTCGGGCCCAGACTCTTCTTTTCTTTTTCCTTATCCATATTTCTTCTTTTTCAATAATGCGGACCATTTCTCAATTTATGTTTGGCATCCCCCTCTGCAGGGGCCATGCTAATTTCCTCTTCATCGTTCCAATTTTAGCGGATGTCCCAAATGACTTATTCTGATCCGTATATCCAACTCGCTAAAGAAGTCACAATCGCTAATTACGTGTTACGCGCCCTCTACTTCCCTGCAGAGCTTTCCAGACAAGAAAACCCGGCCTCACGTGTACTGTTCACTGTTCAGTGAATAAAATGTTTTTGATAGTTGACATGCTTTGACTCTGTCGATCCAAATTCGATCCGAATTCGATCCAAATTCGATCCAAATTCGATCCGAATTGGATCCAAATTTGATCCAAATTCAAGCCGAATTCAATCCAAACTTTAGAAAGGAAAGGTTGCACAACTCATCTAGCGAAGGTTGAGGGTTGTTGCTTGCCAACGTCGCTGCACTTAGTTGCAAGACAGAACAAGTGGTACTTCTGAACATGGATAGAAATGCTTTTTTTTTTTTCTTCTTCTTTTTTTTTTTTTTTTTTTTTGAGACGGTGCTCTAATCTATTCGTGGGGAGCAACACGGTTGGGAACCGGGCCCAGCGTCCCTTATCAATGCTATGTGACAATGAAAGTGAATCAGGGCATGCTGACGCTAGGCTTTTTCAACTGATCTCTGTATGGAATCGTGGTCAGATACATGCTTGAGTTGCTGTAATTGTGGTGAGATACGTCTGATCTACCGCCGGCACTCTTGCAGCGCTCGCAACTGCGCCGATGTGCGAAATATAAATATAATATTGATGCCAGGCAGCACCACCCGCAGAAAGAAAGGCGAAGATCCCATGGAGCCGAACTTTCGGTGTTAGTATATATGAGAAATATGCAAATGACTTTGTGATAGGCATTATTGGCCCTCGGACTGACACGATTAAGATACACGATCTTATATCGACCTTTCTAAGTACGGTCGGACTAGAACTAAATAAAGAATCCAGAACAGTATTTGACTCTTAGAGTGACTATGCCCTTGAATTCCGATTGAAAGACACCCATAACTGAACCCTTGTGTTGGCATCAAGTTCAAGCTGATGAACTGTTATAAATCTTTATGAATGGTTAGACTTCTTGGTTAACTACGATGCTTTTTTTTTTTTTTTTTTTTTTTTTATACGCTGATGTCGTATCGAGGAAGAGCATCATCTCCACTGAAAATTTGACGGAGAACAGTTCTGACAAGAAGGCTAAGTTTGCTCGGTTCGAAGAGGATGGTTTTTTTTTTGTACTTTTTTTTTTTTTTTGGTTGGGGGGGCGGGGGGGGGAGGAGTGAGATGAAGGAGCTAACTTTGCTTCGTTTGTTGGTGGTAAATGTCTTGAAGTGCAGTTGACGGAACTGAAGCTCTGTGTCGACAGCCTTGAAAAAGAGCGGGATTTCTACTTTGCGAAATTACGAGATATCGAGATATTGTGCCAGAGCGGAGAGCTTGAAAATATACCGGTACGTGTCTCTAGTCTTGTGCTGTGTTTCACTGTTTTCTTCAGAATTGTTTGTCCTTTTCGAAGTGTCCAAGTACATTGTGCGGCTGAGATCTGAAGCATGACTGCAGCGACACATGATTATGCAGGATCTGAACCCCCCCCCCTCCCTCCCGAAATCTCATGTTCTCCAGGACCGCAGTGCACCGCACCTTGTTGTCTGGCAGATCGAACAGTGTAAATCGCCTCTTGCAGCGCATCAAATCAATTTGCCTACATCCTTCAATCGAGCCGAAGGTCTCTTTCCCAGACTTTCCATGTGTCTTCCAGCGTTCGTGTGACAAAGCCCCTTTGCCGTACACTAGGAGGGTCTTACGAGTGGCATCTGCCACCCGATAGTTGCCATGGTACAGAGGACTAGACCTCCTCCCCTCCCCCCTGTCCTCCACATTAACAGCAAAGGAGCAGTACTGTGGTCTTCAGTGAACATAAGGCATGGCCATTAACGCTGAATCTCTGACCGGAACGTGGCCCTAAGAAAGAAGTACGCGGACGGGGGTAGGTGGTCGTGATGACAGATAACAAGAATCTCCATTCAAGAACAGCTCAAGGAGTTCACAGCTCACAGTGACTCACGGTGGCACGACGAGTTAAGCCTGGTTAGCCATCTGTTGAGCGTGTCGGCCCATTCTGTGGGGGAAGGTTTGTGTATGCCTGTCTAGACCGAACAGCCCAATAATTGCGAACAGTTGTGGATGGGTAAATAAGTGGTTTGCAGCTCAAAATATAGTGAGTGAGTGGGTTGAAAACATAGGCATTCGCCTTCAGAACCAGTATGCAAGAAAATTCCTCCCTTCCTCTCTTCCTTCCTCCCCTCCTTCCTCCCC